GCATCTCGCTCTTTTTTGATCTGGCGAGTGACCGCGAACAATCTAGCCTGGACTTGAGTGAGTTCTTGAAAGTATACACTGTCAGCGATAAAGACGGCAGGAATATCAGCAAGCTTCTCCCGGAGTTCAAATCGCTGACGGAGGAGAGTGCGCTGGGCCTCACGAGCACGGGCGTGTTCAGCATCTTCTTCCGTATATCTAGCAACATATCCCAGGGCAATGTCGCGAATGTCCCCAATAAGCTGTTCCCAGGCCTGATCTGGAGTCGCCTTCCCGTCGAGTCGGTGCCAGGCGGGAAACGCGCGAAAGCACATGTCATCGACCTCGCGAAGAAACCTAGCTCGCCAAAGTCCGTCTACGACTCCAGCAACCATTCGATCATTGTCCCAAGACTCAGCTTTGGCGCGGGGCGCCGCGGGGAAGCTAAGGAGGTACCTCACCGAGACCTGGAGGGGCCAGTGGTCCCATCGTCGGACCGTGGGAACCATCTGGAGCCGTCTGCCGAGCTTCTGGAGGACCCTGCACTGTGTGACCGATGAGAGCCAAGTACGAGGGGCCCCTATGTAGTCTACACGCGTACTGTTCTGCCTCCCGAAGAACGTGCCCTCCCCACCTGCGAACGTGTTGATGAGACATAGTCCAAACTGCTCCAGATAGGTAAGCAACCCTCTTCATGCAATAATGTTCGGGTCGTGGGAAAAGATTGCCTATCGGGTCGAACTCATCCGAGATATGTTCAGCTGGGGGCACGCCTGCAGGGTCATTCAGGTCGCCTCCGAAAGCGAGAGAGCATCTGGCGGGTTGTTCACTAGAGATGTCCGTCATCCACTTGAGTATTGCATCCACACTTTTTTGGTAGAGACTCCTTTGTTTCGCTGTCGACGGCCGAAGGGGGAAAGTAAACGGCGATGGCCAACATATGGAAACGACCAGAACGAAGAAGCACGGCGCCTCCACGCCCTTGAAGAGCGGCTGGTGGTGAATATACTGCGGCGATGTGGCGCATCCTGAAGAGATCCCTTCGAAGTCTAATTTGAACTCCTGCATGGGCATTCGAGAAGGCACCACGATTGTACCCCCAATTCAGGATGAGGAGATCTGGATCGGCGATGCTGCTACAACAATTCTCTGTCGCCTTCATCCGTAGTCTGGTGCCAGTCAGAAAGACGATATCCTTACGAGCATACGCAAGAGAGACCTCCGTATGTCGGCCTGGCTGAACAAGAGAGCAAACATTATGCGTGACAAGATTGAGGCTGCGATGCTCCACCTTCCCACTATCCTTTCTACGCGTGGGGGCGAGGGGCTCCACAAGAACAAGAGGGATACATGGCGCAGAGAGTAAAAGTATGGCACGGAAAGGTGAGGCGTGTAAATATGGCATCGCGCGCGGAGCTGGGCGCCTGGAGGAGGAGGAGGAGGATGAGGAGGAGGAGGAGGAGGAGGAGGAGGAGGAGGAGGAGGAGGAGGAGGAGGGGGAGGAGGAGGAGAGGAGGAGGAGGAGGAGGAGGACGGGGGGGGATTGGGAGGGGGAGGAGGAGGAAAAACACTAAGACACACACTACGAACCATGATAATGAGGAGACGGAGGAGGGGGAGGAGGAGGAGGAAGAGGAGGATGATGATGATGAGGAGGAGGAGGAGAAGGATGAGGAGGAGCAGCAGGAGGAAGAGGAGCAGGAGGAGGAGGAGGAGGAGGAGGACGACGACGACGACGATTGAGGGGTCTCAGACGAGTCGCTAATGGGAGCGAAGCGATTGGAATTCACTGGTTCGAGGCCAATTAGCGGAGTGTCGCTCTGCTAGTGGGAGCGATGCGATCCTAGCCCTTTGGATCGAAGCCAATTGATCAGCGGAAATTCGCTCCGCCCATGGGGGCCAGGCAATCAACGCCCTTTGGCTCGAGGCGAATTAGCGGAGCGGCGCCGCTCCTTTCAAGTGGAAAACCCAGAGGCCTCCAGATCCGGGTCCTTCAAATTAGCTTGAAGAAGGACCCAACCATACACACAGCTGTGGAGACCGCATTCTGGATCCATCGTTCAAAGAGGCCCTCGGTGGGGCTCCCTATGAGGCCACGATCCTCGTGAGGGGTGTGCCGAAATGTGGCGGGGCCGACATGCGAACCCTGCCATTGGTGCCTTCTGTGGAGCGCCCTATGAGGTCACGAACAGTGTGAGAGGTGTGCCGAAATGGGGTGAGGCCGCCATGCGAACCCTGCCACTGGGACCTTCGGTGACGTTCCCTATGAGGCCACGATCCTCTCGAAGGGTGTGCCGAAATGGCCCGAGGCCGCCATGCGAACCCTGCCACTGGTACCATCGGTGGAGCTCCCCACGGGGCCACGATCCTCGTGAGGGGTGCGCCGAAATGGGGCGGGGCCGCCATGCGAACCCTGCCACTGGCGTTTTCGGTGGAGCTCCCTATGGGGCCACGATCCTCGTGAGGGGTGCGCCGACATGGGGCGGGGCCGCTATGTGAACCTGGCCACTGACGCCTTCCGTGGAACTCCCGATGGGGTCACGATCCTCGTGAGGGGTGTGCCGAAATGGTTCGAGGCCGCCATGCGAACCCTGCCACTGGGGCCTGTGGTGGAGCTCCCCATGGTGCCATGATCCTCGTGAGGGGTGTGCCGAAATGGTCCGAGGTCGCCATGCGAACCCTGCCACTGGCGCCTTCGGTGGAGCTCCCTATGGGGCCACGATTCTTGTGAGGGGTGCGCCGACATGGGGCGGGGCCGCTATGTGAACCTTGCCACTGACGCTTTCCGTGGAGCTCCCTATGGGGCCACTGCTTTCGTGAGGGGTGTGCCGAAATGGCCCGAGGCCGCCATGCGAACCCTGCAACTGGCGCCTTCGGTGGAGTTCCCTGTGGGGCCACGAACCTCGTGAGGGGTGTGCCCGAATGGTCCGAGGCCGCCATGCGAACCCTGCCACTGGCGCCTTCGGTGGAGCCCCCGATGGGGCCACGATCCTCGTGAGGGGTGCGCCGACATGGGGCGGGGCCGCCATGTGAACCTGGCCACTGACGCCTTCCGTGGAGCTCCCGATGGGGTCACGATCCTCGTGAGGGGTGTGCCGAAATGGTCCGAGGCAGTCATGCGAACCCTGCCACTGGGGCCTGTGGTGGAGCTCCCCATGGTGCCATGATCCTCGTGAGGGGTGTGCCGAAATGGTCCGAGGTCGCCATGCGAACCCTGCCACGGGGGCCTTCGGTGGAGCTCCCTATGAGGCCACTACCCTCGTGAGGGGTGCGCCGAAATGGGGCGGGGCCGCCATGCGAACCTGGCCACTGGCACCTTCTGTGGAGCTCCCTATGGGGCCACGCTCCTCGTGAGCGGTGTGCCGAAGTGGCCCGAGGCCGCCATGCGAACCTTGCCACTGGCGCCTTCGGTGGAGTTCCCTGTGGGGCCACGATCCTCGTGAGGGGTGTGCCGAAAGGGCCCGAGGCCGCCATGCGAACCCTGCCACTGGGGCCTTCGGTGGAGCTCCCTATGGGTCACGAAGCGCTGTGCTGGGTGTGCCGAAACAGAGGCATGCGGAGGGTAGAGGCAAGGATATGATGATGGCAATGATGGTGATGATGACGATGATGGCGATGATGACTGACGACGATGATGACGACGATGACGATGATGATGATGACGATGATGATGATGATGATGATGATGATGATGATGATGATGATGGTGATGCTGATGATGATGATGGTGATGGTGATGGTGATGGTGATGATGATGAGGAGGAGGATGATGATGATGATGCTGATGATGCTGATGATGCTGATGATGCTGATGCTGCTGTTGCTGATGCTGCTGATGCTGCTGCTGATGATGATGGTGATGATGACGATGATGATGACGATGACGATGATGATGACGACGATGATGATGCTGCTGATGATGATGATAATGATGATGAGATGAGGAGGGATGCGCCAGCAGGAGGAGGAGTGAACGCGGGGCGCTGTCTCTTCAAAACGAGGACCCAACACCACAGGATGGTTAGGAAAAAGTCAGTATCGAGGCCTGAGGGGTTGAGCAAGGAACCTGAGGACACGCCCGATCCGTGCACAATGGCATTGTGGCGGCCGTGGCCCCCAAATAAATGAAATTCAATCTTAGACTCGCCTTACTGGTATCCTTCCTTCATTTTCGATTTTTGCGCTTCTGAGAGGCCTTCATCGCCACGATATTGCTTTTTACTCGGTGAGCCCGCAACGTCGGTTGCGGGGGTTCTCCCCCCATTCCCCCTCCCCGTAGCGGTACCGACCGTGCGCGGAGGGGTGCCGGTTCCCCCACAGGCGTTGCGTGGTGCTCACATGCATGTTTTGGTGTTGACAGGCAGGTTTTGGTGTTCAGAAGCATGATGTGGCGCTCGCAGGCTCGACCCCGCCCCCTCCCGTCCGTAACGGAAGCTACGGGGAAGTCGAACACCAATCTCTGTCGGTTTCGCCTTCTTGAATCTTGGGATGCCCTCGTCGTCACGGCTGGATTCGCTTCGAAACGGTATTCAGAACGCACTCCAGGAGAGGTTCGTGGAGTAACGGTATCGGAGTTTCCTTAGTAGCGTACCGTCAAGGTATTACAACAGAGGCGCCAATAGAGGTAGGGAAGGACAATCGAAAAGTCCCACATCGGGTGACGGGGAGTCCGAGGACGCCTGGTCCGGCAGCCGCTTCGCCTGAGACTCCCTCACGATGTATGATTCAGGAAGCATGTTCTCGCTTCAATGCTGCATGCTTGGTTTGGACGGCCACGATCTCTTGCAAAGGCAAACTGAGGTGCACATGGCCGTGCTCTCACCCCGCTCCCCCACAGCCCACCTTCCTGCTCTCCGACCTGCCACTTCACCTTTGCTGCTATTTAGGTGCGTTGCTGGGGTCATTGGGCCTCCTGGGAGGCCCTTGTCGCCACGGCTGGATTCGCCTCGACATTCTGCTCGGAACGCACCCCAGAAGAGGCCCGCAGTGTGGCGGCATCTGTCTTTCTTGGTTCTCCCAAGGAGGGCCTCCAAGCACAGCAAGTTGCCGAGGGTCTCGTCCACCGGGACGCTGCTGCCGCAGCCGAATGCTCGGAGGATGTCCACGAACGACATGTTCCAGAAGTCGCCGGCCCAGATCCAGAAGAGTCTGTCCAAGGCTTGCCTCCAGCGGCGCCACAGCATTGCCGACACGCCAGCCAGCGGCGCTCTGCAGGCCTCACGGTCAGACTTCCCGCAGAAGTTGCAGCCGCGGAGCCTAGAGATGTGGGGCGCGTACTCCGCGTTGACGGATCAGCTGCCGCGCATGGACCCCGGCACGGAGTTCCTCGACTGGCCCACGCAGTGCGTCGCGGGCTTCGTGAACCCTCCCAAGCGCCGCGCATCTCTGCTCGCCTCCACGCTGCTGGGCAGTCTGCAGAAGCCCAGCCCGAAGCAGCAGCAGCAGCAGCAGCAGCATCAGCAGGATCAGAAAGATGTCGACGACTTCGGCCTCGATCACGATGAGGCGTGCAGCGAGGGACAGCGCTCGTCCAGCCCCCGCGAGACCACGCGCCATGTCCTGAGCATGCCCGAAGTGCCCGCGCAGGTGCCAGGCCCAGACGAGGCCACGAGCGGGGAAACTCAGGCTTCCAGCCCGCCAGAGGCCACGAAAGAGAACACTCGGGTGCACGGCCCGCACGAGGCCATGAGCGAGGACACCCGGGTGCCCAGCGCGAAGGGGTCCATCAGCGGGGTCTCCGTGGACGCCGACGACCTGGGTGTGAAGGTGCCTCTCGCGCCCACGCTGGAGGAGATCTACGCGAGCTACACGGACGACCAGTGGGAAGGGCACGACAGGATCATGAGCTTGGCCTTCAAGCGCTTCGCGGTCGAGGGTGCCAGTGAGATCGCGCGCGAGAGTCTGCACGACGCCTTCGTCCACATGGGCTTCCTGACCAGCACGCAGAAGAGCGCCGTCGACGTCACGTCGGGGCTCTCGAAGTTCCAGAACCTGGACTACATCGACTTCTGCGACTGCGCCAACGAGTTCGCCTCCCGCGAGCGCGCCGCCGTCCGCCAGAGCGCGGCCGCGTTCCTGGCGCAGCGCGGCGGCGACGCGGACGCGGTCGTCGACCAGCTGCAGGAGTTTCTGCGCTCCGCGGGCCTGTACATCCCCTACGGCAACGTGGTGGCCGCACGGGAGGCGGCGGGGCTGGGCCACATGCACCCGGAGGACATGAGCACCGAGGACCTCATGGCGACCCTGGCCGCGTGCAAGATGAAGGAGGGCTTCACCAAGGAGGAGGTGGCGGCCGCGCACGAGGTCTTCGAGGAGCTCGACCAGGTGCTGGTGCAGCACGTCTCGGCGAGCCGGTGGGGCCCCATGGCTCAGGCCTCCCAGCTTGTCGACGGCCTGCTGAAGTTCACTGGCCTCTACTGCGTGGACTACTTGGACGCGCTGGTAGAAATCATGCCCTCTGAGTCCGCCGCGGAGCAGCAGGGCTTAAGCTTCCACGAATTCCTTGTCTGGGCGCGCCGGCTGCGTGACCCCATGATGAAGGATCTTTGGAAGTGCTTCGAGGACCTCGAGAAGAGTGGCTCTGGCGAAATCCAGCTGGACACCGCCATCAGCATCGCGGCAAAGTTTGGCATCACCCTGCTCACGGACGCTGTAGATGAGATCCTCGCAGATCTCGACATGGAGAAGGACTCCCCTTTCGACTTCGGCGCGCTAGTGCAGTTCATTGGCGCAGCCCGGGAAAAGCACGGCTTCTCGACCTCCGAGCAGGAGGACCTTGACGCCGCGTTTGAGAAGTTCGACAACGACGGAGAAGGGGAGCTGAGCCACCTCCAGGTGCTCGACCTGCTTCGATACCAAGGGAACAACACGAGCGTCGAGCAGGCAAATGTCATGATGAACCGGGTCGACTACAACGGCAATGGATCTATGGACCGCGACGAGTTTTTGAGGTTGATGAGGCTCATGCGGGAGCAGGACGTCTTGAGCGCTCGCAAATCTTTCGACGAGTTGAGCAGTAAAACTGGCCAACTTCCAACGGCGTCTGTCAAGGACGCCCTCGCCAACCTGCAGCTCTTCCCCAGGTCTAGCATGCTCGCTGAGCTCTTGAGAGAAATGCCGCCAGATTTGTGCTTCAGTTCTTTCATGCGCCTTCATGACCAGTGCCGCTTCCGCGTGAACCTCGACTTCCGGAAGAGCGCAGGTTTCCCAGAAAAGACTTTGAAGGAGATCAACCACATTTGGAGTGGCGGCGAGTCCGAGAAACACTTCATCACCCTCAGCGAGCTCCTTTGGATGTGCACCGACTCGCACGCGATCCCCGTGAACACGCAGGAAGGTCGGACCCAGCTGCTGCAGCGAGTGACGGCCTCTCGGGAGGCAGCTATCGCGGCTGGAGCATCGGAGGACGAGGTGTCACGGGGAAGCACCACAGACGTCGGCTACTACACGTTCCTGCACCTGATCCGCGGCATCGTGCGGGAGTCAGAGGAGGACATTGTCAATCGCGAGAAGGATGCCGTGTCCAGCGCCCGCTTCGAGAGTGGCGTGACCGCTGAGGTCTGAGGCTGGGACGCATACGCGTCCACGGCTCGGAAACCGAGCGTCCTGGACCTTCAAGGGCGGGGGATGCGGATCTATTCTGAACCTCCCTGGGGCATGAATATTCACATCGACCGCCTCCTTGGGTTCCAGGGCATGGGTTCCCCAGGCAGTGGGTGCGGATACAGTCCCCGCCTCGCACGAGGTCCGCAGAATCTTCTGCGACTTCGCCGAGCACAAGGAGATCAAGAAATCGACTTGGAAGCATATCATGGCCATGGGAGGGCGGCCGATAGACAAGCTGCTGGCGCGGCTCACGATGGTGCCCGCCATACCAGAGGTGGCCCTGCCGATCATGCTGAAGTCAATGGGGGCAAAGGTGCCAAGCAGCAAGATGCAAGACATCAGCAATTTCCTGGCGCAGTCGAGGAGCCAGGTCGAGGCGGACGAGAATACCGTGCATTTCTCCACCTTCTTGAGGCTGTTGCGATGGATGCTGGACGCTGACTTTGCTGGCATCTCCGCCGTCATAGAGTCCCTGAAGGTTGACGGCAACGGCACCAGCAGCTCGAGTCCGAAAGGAAAGAGGTGATCGAGATGGAGCGCCGGCTGTGGCCGACATCTTCGTACCTCTTCGTCGGCGTTTGGCCACCTTGAGGGCATGGGATCATTTAACGGTGAGATCGGGAACTTCACAGTGAGGTGATTCATCGAATCAGTGATACAGCACACTACGTTAAGGCCACTACGGTAAACGTAAATTGTGCACATAACGCCTGGTAGACTTCGCACAGTTCGAATGAGTTCACCATATCACAAGAAACACACTACACCACGCCAAACCAGTTTCACCATCTCACCGTTGAGACCAGCTCCCACATGAGAGCCACGACGGCACATCCGCTGTCCACTGCTGGCCGACCCAGCCTGCTTTCTGAGTCGTCCACCGAGCAGGCCTGGGACGAAGACAGATCGGCCCAGAGCGTTCCAGAACGCTCTCGGACCGCTCGGGTGCGGCTTTGAGTGGCCCCGGCACCAGGCGCTATCCGCCGGGCCCGCCAGTTTTCAGAGATTCCGTGTCTGCCTCGCGGATGCGCCCTCAGAAATTGTTTGAATCCTTCAGATCGGCATCGAGATCCGGCGGTGCGAATCATAGGAATAGGGATATGTCCCAGGCTGGTAAATTTGTTTCGCTGGATCCTCTCTTCACCCTGGCCTCGAACGAAGGAAAATCGCATACATGGAAGCTGTTGGAGGTCCGCGCGGATTTCTTGGGCAGGCGCTGAGCCCCCTTCCCTGGCGCGCGGAGCGCGCGATGGGCGGCACCGGAGGCGCCCCCGAGGGGTCAGCGCCGATCCGAGGAATCCGCGCGGACCTCCCCGAAAGCCTCTGCTTGCGCACCTATGTCTTCTTCTGTGGCTCTGTCTCGGCCTCGGCCCCAGGAGCTCGCCACGGTCCTGCATGGCCGTCTGCTGCACGCCCGGCTGGGTCAGAGGAGCCTCTGCACAGGGGCCCCGACGCGGGCCTCGGAGGAGGGCCAGTGGAGACGGCGGCAGCAATCCCGCCTGGCCCAAATCCGCTCTCAAAATTGGTCCCCGGACCCCTCCTGGGGTCCATCAGGACCCGCGGTCCGCGGCGGATCCAGCCGTGGCGACGAGAAGCCTCCAGGAGGTCCAGCAGAGGGCGAAACCCGCCAGGGGGGACAGCCGTTGTCTCGACTGGCCCTCCCCAGAGAGGAGTTCGCCACGGAGGCGCGTGCCACGAGGCCCCTCGCCCTTGCCTCGAGGAAGCTCGCCGCGTCGGGCATGATTCGGAGCTGTTCCGAAGGCCAACAGCGGGCGGGGGATTGGGTGAGCGTCTGGGCAAGGGAGTATGTGGGAGAGGCAATTTTACTTGTGCTTTTCGGACGTGTTCGTCGGTTCTCATCGGCGTTCCAGCCTCAGGATGCGTTCCAGCGGCTGCGCCTCGCAGATGGCGTTCCAGGGGTGCCCGGATCGTCCCGAACGGCCGCCCCAGAGCCGAGCTGCGGCCCAAAAGCCAGGGGGCAACGCTTAGGGGGGGATAGGCTCGGAGGGGGATGCATCGGCACCCAGTCGCCCATCGATCGCCGATAGGGGCCCGATAGCTCCCCCCGCCCAGAGCCGCGCGGTTTCGCTATCGGGGGCCCGTCGCCGATCTATCGGCGACGCATCGCCGATTCCAGGTCGGCGCTTCCCCCCCGGAGCCCGCCCCTCCCCCTCCAAAAGGAGGGAGTGCGGGGATGGAGGGGGCTAGACCTCCGGCGGCCTCGAGACGCTTCGGAGGGGAGTCTCTCGGGGTGGCTCTCCCGATGCGGTGTGGCAGGCGATCGCAGACATGGATTCACGGGGCGTGGATTAGCGACGGGTCCTGTTTCCATGGGAAATCGCGGATTTCCGCCGCCGAACGAGGCGGCTGCGGCCGCATTGTGTGGAGGGCACTTCGCCCGATCCATGGATTTGGCGACCGCGCGCCAAATCCATGGATCACCAATCCATGTTTGCGCGCCCCCGAGTTTTGGCCCCAAGGCTCCGGGAGATTATCAGAAACGGCTTGAGCGGGGGGCTCGGGGAAGGGGGCAGGGATTTCCGGGGGCCGCGTGCAGGCCCGGGGGAGAGGATAAGGGCGCAGAGGACGGCTTCTGCGGTCACTCGAATATTATAGCTCGATTTCTGCGCTTTGGGAGCAGTCTCCCACGGACCATCGAATAGCCAGGACCGTCTCTGGTGCTGGCGATGCACGGAGAAGGGGCATCCGTGCGTGGTCTCGCAGGCTTGAATGCCAGCAGACCCTTTCTTTTTTTGCCCACTTGCTGTATACCAAGCCGTTGTATGCAGCCTGGCTCGATGCCACTAGTGGGGGCGGGTTGCGGTGCAAAGGCCTTCGAAGAAGGCCGCCCCCCCTGGCACCCCTGGTTTGCCCTCCCTCTCCTCTGCCTCTCCACGGGCGTCCGGCAGGGGGGGGGCTATTATCAGGAGGGGAAGAAACACACAGACACAATGAATCGTCGATTCCCAAGAAAATATGGGAAAATATGGGAATTGGGCGGGAAGACAAAAACCCAGAAGTCAAGTCAAGTCACCCCGCTCGCACGAGGGCGGGCCCATATAGGGCGCGAGGGAAAAACAAGTTACAGTGCAAGCAGGAAAGCTATCTGAGACAAAAACCCAGAAAATAGGGGGAACTATGGGGATTTTTTGTCCCAGGGCCCCTTCAATAATCAAGAAAATCCTGGCGGCCTCGCGCGGCGCGCAACAGCCGTGTCGTCCAGTCCACACGGAGTGTCCACGCGGCCGCCCCACAGGCACGAGGACGACCTTTCGCGCGGCGAGGCTCCGACGCACGTCCGACGCAAGCCCGACGTGCATTCGACGCAGTTCCGACACATCTGAAGCAAATCCGATGATCTTCCTCCTCCTCCGCCTCCTCCTCCTCCTCCTCCTCCTCCCCCTCCTCCTCCTCCTCCTCCTCCTCCTCCTCCTCCTCCTCCTCCTCCTCCTCCTCCTCCTCCTCCTCCCCCTCCTCCTCCTCCCCCTCCTCCTCCTCCTCCTCCTCCTCCTCCTTTTTCCTCCTCCTGGGCCTCGAGCTGCCGCGCGGGGTCTCCAAGGATCTCCCCTCCGAAGCTCGGCCCTCTGGGGGGGGAGGCAGCGAGCCCCCCCCTCGCGCACCCGGGTGCCCCACCCCGCAGACGAGTGCCCGCTCTCCCCACCGCGGGCACCTCGCCGACCTCCTCGGCGACGCCTCGCCGATCTCAGGCCCACCTGGGAGGCCCAGAGGAGGAGGAGGAGGAGGAGGAGGAGGAGGAGGAGGAGGAGGAGGAGGAGAAGGAGGACGGAGCCCGTGCCCCCCCCCCGTGTCGTCGCCCCTCCCATCTCCGCCTCTCCACGGGCGGCCCTGCTCCGCAGCTCTGCCGGCGCGCCCCCGACCGGCGGATGGATCGGGTGCTGCCAGAGGTGCCCCTGGCCCCAGGCGGCCCCCAGGATCCTCGGGGTGGCCTTAGGCGGCCTCCAGAGCACCCCCACGAGGCCCAGAGGGCCCTACAGTCGGGGCCCTGAAGAAGGACCCCTTTTCGTTGGGGAGGGGCTCCGCGTTCCATAAGTGTTTCACAGCTTGCCTCAGGTTGTCCTTCTGTTTTCGATTGGAAATCAAGCTTAACATATGGAAAATAGGGGCCTCGTTCCTTATTCAGGGTTCCTTCGGTCAACGCCCCGACTGTAGGGGCTCCAAGATTGAGCGAAAAGCCAGGGGCACCTTGGGCCAGGGGCACTTCCGGCAGCACCCGAGTGGATTGATTTTGGGGCGGCGTCAGACTTCTTAGTTGCCCGGCCAGCAGCGCGAGGCGGCGATTCTCTGAGACCATGCCGCCCAGTCCGCAGCGCGAGGCGGTGCCTCCCGGATCGAGGACGCCTACGGCGAATCACCGCTGCCCTCTGCCTTTTTGGAAGCGCCTATGTGGTTGAACGTTGTGGCCAGAGCTCGGCCAAGCTATCGGACGATGTGTTCCCCCAGTTGCGGAGGCCCTTCGGGTAACACGTGGGGGGGGAGAAAGAAGAAGAGGAGGAGAGGGAGGAGAAAGGAGGAGGAGGAGGAGGAGGAGGAGGAGGAGGAGGAGGAGGAGGAGGAGGAGGCCTCTTGGGGAGCCTCTTGGGGAGCTTTTTGGGGCATTCTTGGGGTCTCCTGGGAGCTTCCTGGGGGCCTCTTGGAGGCCTCCTGGGGGCCTCCTTGGGCTTCTTGGGGGCCTTTGGAGACTTCTTGGGGGCCTCTTTGGCCGTCTTGCGGCGCTCCTGGCCCGCCTGAAGCCGTCTTGGGGCCACGCTGGGCTGTCTTGGGTCGCGTCAGGGCCGTCTTTGAGACTATCTTGGGCGTCTTGGAGGCCTCTTGGACCGTCTTGGGGCCCTCTTGGGGCCGTCTTGGGTGCCTCTTAGGCCGTCATTGGGCCATCTTGGAGGCCTCTTAGGCGCTCTGGGAGCGATGTGGGGGGCCTCTTGGGCTGTCTTGGGCCGTTTCCTAGATTTCTCAAGAACCTAAGGACAATCAATGATTTTGGCCTCTTGGGGTCTTCCTGTAGGACCTCTTGGAAGCCTCTTTCGCCGTCTTGGAGGCTTCTTGGGGGCATCTTGGGCCGTCTTGTGCCATCTTGGGCCTTTCTCGGGCCGTCTTGAGTGCGCATCGGGCCGTCGTAGTGCATCTTGCGGCCATCTTGGGCTCTCTTGGGGTCATCTTGGCCGTCGTGCAGGCCATATTTACAGTCTTGGAGGCCATTTTGGGGCTGTCTTGGGGGAAAAAACACGACCTGTCTATTTTCCCGAGCTTTCCGCGTGCCCGACACATTAGGTCGAAGGTCATTGGGAGTTGTTATCAAGCACAAAACCATTCGCATTTTTGGCACGCCGTGCACCCTTGTGGCAAGCCGCAGGGGCTGGCGGATTTTCTGGCCTTCGGCCCATCACGCCACCGTGCCTGGATCGTAGGTCAGAGGCCTTTCGGGGCCCTCCTGGCCCGTTTCGGGGCGCTCCTGGCTCCGAAACAGTCATGCGGGAAGCGCAGGGGAACCGCGGGAGGCACGCCGGCAACACGGAAAATTTGAGAGTTATGGTGTTTGGGCCTCTTCATGTTCAATTTTGCGGACAGGACTGACGACTACAAAGGACCTGAGGGCACTCCAACCGTGCCTCGCGGCACGGTAGCGGGTCTGGGGGGTAACCTCTGAGTTCTATGCCGCCCGGCCAGCAGCGCGAGGCGGCGATCCTCTGAGCTCAGGTCGACCGGTCCCCAGCGCGAGGCGGTACTCCCAGGATCATTTTCCCACTGGACAAACGCTCGGTGGGGTCGGATCCATGGGACCCCCTCGGATATCACAGTCCGCAGCTCGCCAGAGCAACACAGCCGCGCAGCACCGCGCAACACCGCGCCCTGCATTTAGCGGGTGCTGCGCGGTGTAGGTTACCGATCGTTTCCCGGTGACTCCTGCGGATGGGACGCATAATTTTCTCGCACAGGAGTTTATCAGTCCGCTTTCCCTACTTGTCTGGTGAGAGCTGTATTTTGTTTTGTGCCTTGCTTCCCTTCTTACCCTTTGCAAACGCTTAGAGGCTCCTGGGGGCCCCTCTACGGAGTCTCCTGAAGTGCCCTGGAGTTTTGGAGCCGTCTGTACAATTTTACCCCGATCTTGAGGGGCTCCCGTGTACTGTTCAGTAGTAGTAGTAGTAGTAGTAGTAGTTGAGGGGCTCCCGTGTACTGTTCAGTAGTAGTAGTAGTAGTAGTAGTAGTAGTAGTAGTAGTAGTAGTAGTAGTAGTAGTAGTATCAGTAGTAGTAGTAGTAGTAGTAGTAGTAGTAGTAGTAGTAGTAGTAGTAGTAGTAGTAGTAGTAGTAGTAGTAGTAGTAATAAGAGTAGTAGTAGCAGTCGTAGTAACAGTAGTATAGTAGTATTAGTAGTAGTAGTAGTAGTAGTAGTAGTAGTAGTAGTAGTAGTAGTAGTAGTAGTAGTAGTAGTAGTAGTAGTAGTAGTAGTAGTAGTAGTAGTAGTAGTAGTAGTAGTAGTAGTAGTAGTAGTAGTAGTAGTAGTAGTAGTAGTAGTAGTAGTAGTAGTAGTAGTAGTAGTAGTAGTAGTAGTAGTAGTAGTAGTAGTAGTAGTAGTAGTAGTAGTAGTAGTAGTAGTCGTCGTAGTCGTAATCGTCGTAGTCGTAGTCGTAGTCGTAGTCGTAGTCGTAGTCGTAGCAGTCGTAGTAGTCGTAAAACTAGGGGAGCGCTGATATACAAATGAATTATGTATCATGGCGGGTTTGCAATGACATCTGGATGCAACGGTTTCACACGTGGAATACCTTCTGTGCGATGCTTGAGGATTCCAGTTGTTGTTTGCGTACCACATTCTTGTTGGGCTGCACAATGAGAGGAGGAGGAGGAGGAGGAGTTGAGACTTGAGAGTTCGGTCGGTTCACGCACTGCCAGTTTAATCTGTGCTGGCAGTGGGGGCGAACGTCGAGTGGACAGTCTGCACCCTCTTTGTCTGCATTCCCAGTGGCGCGCGGGAATTGGGATGCAGGACGGAAGGCCCCTCGTCATTCCCTGTCATCCCTGACGCCCGAAACCATTTGACACCAGGATTTATCTTTCGGCACTGCACTCCAACTCCCATCCGCCGCTCACTTTGTTCATTGCGCCATGCCCTTGACGCGCAGGCGCGGAAGAACTTCTTGATCGCGGTGGGCGATCCACTCGCGGATGAGGCTGATATCATTACAGTGGCCGATTTCTTTGTCGCCCTGAATTTCCCCGATGTCCGCCAGCTTGAGGGCCTCGGCGCGGCGGACATTTTCGTGAACGACAAGGCGCCGGCGGCTGCCCGGGCGCATGCTCGAAGGCTCACCAGGCGGGCGCCGCGGGCGGCTGACGCCACTGCGAACTCCAAGCGCCGGCGCCTTGCCGCGTCGCCTGTCGGGGGCAGCGATTGCTCTGGTGGCGGCCCGCTTCCTGAGCAAGGAGCCAACGCAATGGCGCCGGCGTCGGCAATGAATGGTGGCGCACCCCGGAAGGCGAAAGCCGACGTCGGGGCTCTGCTGGGGAAGAGCAAGCTGGACAGGCTGCCGTTCCAGCTCCAGCCTGGGCAAGACGTGTTCCAGGTCTTGGTTGACGGACAGCGAGAGGTGCCAGCGGATACGGCGCCGCGCATCGCGTGCATTTTCGTGTGCTTCACATCCAGGGGCGCGCCCCCGCTGCGGCTGCCCCAGGAGGCCATTGGCGGCCGGGTCCGCCCCCCAGGTGATCCGGAGCTGTTGAATTGGTCGAGTAGGACGCAGACGCTGTCCCAGCTTACCCGGGCTCTCCGAGGTGCCACTGCGGCCCCCGGATTTTTTTCGCACCGCGGGGCAATTGGCGGCTGCCTTCACTCGCTTCGGGATTGTGGCCGCGGCCGTTGGGCTGCGGCAGATGTCCGAAATGTGAACCCATATTGATTTCATCTTGCAGCTGTCTGAGCAGGAGAAGGCAGCGGGTCGCCCCCCGTTCGTGGCCTTGTTCTGACGAGATGGCACGGCGCAGCCGGGGGCTTCGCGCCTTGGGGCGGGACTCAGCGTTCACGGTCGCCAGCGCGGTCTGCGACGTCGACAAGACTGCGACCGCCTGCCAGGCCCCGAGCGCACTCGGTGCTCAGGGCCGTTGGCCTCGGGGGGCCGGGCCCGGAGCTTCCGGCCGCGGCGGCGGCGTCGGACGCGGAGTCGGTTCTCGCGAGGCAGCTGGCGGCGATGGACGCGCTGCAGACGCGCCGCGACGCCTCGGCGCGCGCCCCCGCGAAGATGCAACCGCCGCGCCAGCGGGCAAATGGTGGTCGGCAGGGCCGGGGAGCCAGCGGAGGAAAGTCAGGCGGCGAGGGCGGCGGCCCGCCCTCGCCTGGCATTCCCGAGCGCGCAGCAGAAGAAGCATAACTTCTTCGCGAGGGGTAAGGAGAGGAGGATGGGCGGTGGCCGCGATAGCCACTGGCGTGGGCAGCGTTGAAGTCCGGCGGAGCCTGGGTGCTCGGACGACTCCTCTGCGTCGGAGGAGTCCGCGGCGCTGCGGGCCCCGAGCGACTATCCAACGGCGCCGCCAGTTTTGCCTTCCACCATCCCTGCGCCGGAGACCCCGCTGGTGCCTGATGGATTGGGGGCTCCACGTGGTCTTCGGCGTCTGTGGCGCGCGCGGTGGGCGCTCTCTATTCCTGGCCCCATGGCTCACGTAAATGCGCCGATGGCTGATGACTTCGATTTTGGACCAATGGGCCAGGTCGCGCGCATGGAGGCTGGTGAGGCGGGTGCGTTTCGGCGCGAAGGGCTTCGTCGCCTTCTGAATCTCGGCGCAGACTTGGGGCCCGAGCGCGAGCCGCGGCTTGCTCGGGCACCAGCGGCTCAACAGCGATTGGCTGGGAAGCTCCGCGGCCCGCCCATTTTCAGGCTTGCAGAGCTCCTGCATTGACCTGGCGCGCAGCTGGCGGGGGACTTGCGCAGTTCCCCTTTGGTTGGCGCGCTTCTGGCGGCTGTCTATTCCTCCCGGACTCAGACGATAAAGCAGCGGGTTGTAGATGTTGGTCAGGTGCACGAAGACAAACAGCTGTGGAACGCGGGTGCCCAACTGGGTCTGAAGGACATGCCGTATTCCAGCGGGCGGGTCCCTGCAGAAGTCCAGAAGGGCGCACTTCGGCGGCCCCCGGCGGCGCGCGCGGCGCGCGACCGTCAGCGCCTGCGGGTAACTATCTGGACTGATGCGGCAGGAGCCACCCGCGCGCTTTGGGCTGTGGGGCACGCTCGCGGCCAGTTCGTCTACGCGATGCTGGCTGAGCCGCCGTGCGCATGGCTCTCGTTGCTGCGTCGCGAAGATTATCAGATTGGTGCCCAGGAGACTAGCCGCGGCCCTATCTTCAGGCACTTCCCTTCAGTTCCTTCGACGGCCCCCCGATGGTTTGCCGCGTGGATTATGACGGCGCTTGGGCCTCCGTGATGATGGAGGCCTCTCACTTCCCTGAGATGAACGCCCTGGTTGGTAGGATGTGGCTGGAGATGGCGGTTCTGCAGGCTAGCTTCTTCTCGGCGAGGGTCGAGGCTCGCGCCGACGCCGTCGACGGGCCATCGCGCGGAGATAGCTTGCTCATGCTGGGCACTTGTCGGGTCGCGCCGGGGCGGCCGCGACGGGCCCATGGCGCGCGGAGCTGGCGCTTCTGATGGGCGCGGCGCTGCGGGGGGGGTGCCGAGCGTGAGCGGCCGCGCGGTTGCCGAGGCGAGTTTCGAAAGTCGGGCTTGGAGCCTTATAAATCCGCTTCAAGAACCCCCCTAAGGATCCGGGGGGGGGGTTCTTTCATGGGCGATATTGCGCGTATTCCGTCGCTGGAGGCTACGGCCTTAGCTCCGGGACTCAGTCTGGTGCATCTTCCGTAGCCATTGGACTCGGCGCCGGCCGGGGGGCAGTTGGTTCGAAGCTTAGGCCGGATGGGCGCTGCTGTCATGTTTATCTGCGCCATTGGCTGGAAGTGATTTGCAGCTGCTGTTTGGGGGTGATTGGAAGTGCTTGGGAGTGCACTCGCGAATGGGTCCTTGAGCGACGCGGACTCGAGGAGGCCGCGCGGTGGCGCGCCCGCGGGCGGTCGGCCGATTGCCGCTTCAACTCCGGGCTCGGCGGCAGACCGTGGCCTGCATCTGCTCTGGCTTCGGGGTCAGATCGCGGTGTCTCTCCAGATGCGCGATTCGTCCTGGCTGCGCCTGGCCGTCAAGGCCATTGCGTCCTTGCCCCTCTCGGCGGAGGATCTCGCGTCCACGGGCGTCGGCATCTTGTTCAACGACGGCGCGGTCAAGGCGCGGATTTCCGCAGCCTAGACGCCCCCCCCCCCCCCCCTCGCTTTCATCGTCCTCCTGGTGGACAACGTGGCGAAGCATTCCTTGCCGCGGTGGATCCTTTGGAATCCTGGCTGCGGTCTGTGGATAGTGTTCCGTCCGATCACGTATCCACCTTGCATCGATTGGCATATGTTGGACGAGCGCGCGCCGGAGGATCTCTCTCTCTCTCTCTCTCTCTCTCTCTCTCTCTCGCAGCATTCACAGGCCGAGCCCAAGGCTACCAATTGTCTTGGAAGAAGACGGCCGCCGCCCCAGGCCGCGTACACGTACATGACCCTCAGTCGGAATGGTGGGCAATCACGCTCGCCCTCATCAAGCGCTACGCTGCGCTTCACGACAAGCCCAAGCACGCAGCGCTCATGCAGCAGCAGGCCTCCATCATCCAGCAGCGCGCGGACCACTTCAACACTCACTTTCACGACCTCCAGTTCGAGAAGGATGAGGACACCATTTTCCGCTGGTTTGCACTCGTCTGGGCCCCGCACTTGGACAATGAGGACACCGACGACTTGGTCACTATTACCGCTACTTGGGCCTCCAGAGCGCTCTCCGCCGCCCTCGCTAAGTCCAAGAGGGCTTACGGTGCTTGGCTCGCCAAGCAATGGAAACACCGCCCTGGAGTACTACACGCCCATGTCAAGCCTGCGCCCGTACGTCACATCGAGGCCTACACGACCAACCTGACCATCGCCGACCCCACCGTTATCATGGACAGCAAGAAGCAACAATGGCAACAAGTATGGCAGGCCACCGAGACCCCCGACGACATCCTACAGGCGCTGTCAAAGGCCAAGGCAGCAGCCGCTCGCCAACCGCTCGAGCCCATC